GGGAAAAAAAGTTGTTCCATGCGGCTGCATGAAAAATAACCATGCAGCCGCATGGTAGGTTTTCGGCGCGATTTTTCTAGTTTCCTTTTCCCATTAAAACTCTTATAGAAAGGAATCTAGGGCACCTATATAACCCTAATCTCGTCCAAAAAAGAAGGTTATGCCTCTTTAGAGAGGAAAACTTATTGAAAAGTAAGGAGAAGACAAAACCAAGAGATTTCTACATCGAAGATTGAAGAATTCAAAATTCAAGATTTCAAACCAATTTCTAGTTTTTGGGTGATATCTTTTCTTTATTATTTTTCTTGTTCTTTATTTTTATTTATGCTAGGCTAAACTTTTTATGTATTAGGTGAACGATGAACTTCGCGATATGATCTTTTAATTCTCTATTTTGCAATTTGATATTCAAACACGATTTATGGATGTTGAATGAATTATATACACTTTCTTGCTTCTATAGTTAAATGCATGTGATTATATGAGTTTGGGTGATCTATTTTATGCATTCGAAAGAAGGAAAATAGATTCTACAAGGTATAAATCGTCGTAGGGTCCGATAGAGGATAGAAATATACCGCTATACTTTACGTGAATCTCTAAATATTTACAAAATATCATGCATTCTTGTATATTACATTTGTCATAAAAATATAGTCAAATGGTATACGAGAATATGTTCAATTATACTTGAAAGGGATTATTGGATAAGTTAGAAACATTGATTCTTTAACCAATTCATCGTGTTATCAAATTTTCAAATAGACGTTAAAAGTGATCTTGTTTGGTGATTCGGGATTCTAGTGGGCTTTTCATTCATTAATTTCATTAAACTTTTGTATTCAATATATTTTTGCATTCATTTAATCACATTAGCTTAAATTGCATTTTATTCATAGTTTAGTTATAAAATCCAAATAACCAACCATCTTAAGTTTAATAGATTCGGTTAAGGTCTTAATAATAGAAATCAAATCAAATCAATCCTCGTGGGACGATACTCGAAATTTTACAATTTTCACTTTATTACTTATTAACGAATCGTGCACTTGTGGTGATTTACAAAGTGAACATATTTTCGTGACCATCAATGAAGTCTATTCTTGACAATTTGGATGGTGAGAAGGAAGCTTTAGATCGGGCGACGATCCAAATTGAATGGTTTTAGGAGTTGTTGTGCCCCCAATTTGTGACTTGAGGCTTGTTGAAGGTATGAAATGAGATGGCAGCGTGATTTAGCTGTCAATGTATTCCGTTTCACACAGTTTAGGTGGTGGGAAGAAGCTTTAGTAGGACGTCGGTGCTAGAGTTTCCACCTAGGGCCTTTCTCCAACTGAATGGGTTTAGGGACTGTTGGGGCCCTAGTATGTGGCGTAAGGCTGGTCGACGGTAAGGAAGGAGACATGATGTGATTCAGTCGCTAGTATAATCCATTTTCGACAATTGGGTGGCAGGAATGAAGCTTTTTAGTGGTAGAGGTGTGAGATAGGGTTGTGACCAATTAGTTTGATAATTTGTGACATATAAAAACGTATAATTTATGACTAAATTTGAAATTATGATCTATAAATTGTGTTTTCGTGATCGTGATTTTGTGCAATTTGTGACTAGTGCGTAATCGTGATCATAAATTGTATGAGACATTGACCCGTTTAATTAATTAATAAGTCATAAAATTATTATTAGGTGGTCACAAATATGACAATCTGATTTTTGAATT